CGCTTGGATTATCTTTAATGAGTCCGTTGGAGGCTTTGGGCTAAAAAAAGGGGGCCCAAACTTAATTACATCATCATTAGTTGTCTTTCGCTCCAGGTTAGAAGGATGACCTTTCAACCCTGTCCTGGGGTTAGAACATCTTTTCGATCGTAATGATTACCTCCATAGGTGACAGTTTCCCATCATTACTAGAACAACCTTAGTGGCGTATTCAGTTTTCCCATATTTACTCTGATGGGAGAGACGTGATAGGAAAGGACATGAGTCGCTTAGGGAGGGCTCCTCCTGTACAGTTTCTTCTGCACATTTCCTTCACATGTCTCGTCGTGGTAATAAATGCTAGGCATACAACAAAAGGGAATCACCTCACTTTTTTTCTGGTATTTTGAATTCCAATCTTTTCACACTGCTTTTCTCTTCTTTTGGACTCTAAGGCGGCCGCTTCAAATTTCCGGTGGTTTTACGAGATCTGGGCCTTTTATCCTTCTGTGAATCAACCTTAGCTCCTTGTTAGGTACATTCCTGCCTTATTTCCCTTCATTCTAGATCTCTTTAACCCTCCCTGATGGGGCTATGGATTTCGTTTCATTATCTGGAGGTTTAGCTATTTTCAAAATCACTCCGACAGTTTTGCTTTTCTTTCACGATTCATGGATTATTCTATTTTAATGAGGTTATCCTTGCTCAGATCCTGGTGTTTAGTCCCCCTATTTTTGACGAATTTCACTTCACATCTACCCCCTTGTATTTCGATTTAGAGTTTGAGCCCCTAATGGGGAGAGTGGTTCTTGAGACCCCTTCTGATTTCGCATTCGGGGAGGGGAGCGATAAGGGTGTTGATGAGGTTTCAGCTTCTTCCTCTAGTGATCATATTGAGGAGGGGCTCTCCTATCCCCTTAGTGGGGAGGAAATTCCTGATAACGATAGCACACTACTCGGGGGCGGCCAATTCTCCTTAGCTTTAACGAAAAAGTTTGAATTATGTCCTAGGGTGTCGGCTTTGGGGGATCTAGGACCGATCCCTAAGGTTTCAACTTCAGGTCATTCCGTTGAGCCTCCTTTGGTGTTTCCCCCGTCTCCTCAAGTCATACTAGGAAGAAAAGGTTCAAGGGTGCTTCATCTTCTGCCCCCAAAAAGAAAAAAGTCTGACGAGACCTGTCTGACCTCACTTGTTGTGCCAAGTTGACTTCGAGCCATCTCGACGAAGATGACCTAGAGGCTTTGAGGGAAGAGTTCTTTTTTATGGATTCTATTCTACTTCATTCTCCTGGGCAGGATGAGAGATGTAACTCCACTGTCCTTGGGGTGACCTGTTTCTTCGTTTCTACATTCTGCGCTGGTCTTAGAGTCCCTGTTCATCCGTTAATTCGAGACATCCTTACCTTCTATAATGTGTGTCTAGCTCGGGTTTCTCTAAACGACTAGGGCTTACTGGTCAATTTTCTCTTTCATTGGTTTAAGAGTGGGAATACCTCTCTTCCCATTATTTGTGAATTTATCCACCTTTTTTAGCTCAAGTCTTCTCTAGTGTTAGGGTTTTTCTATTTCACCAAAAAGGTGAAGGCAAAGATTTTGATAACTGGGTTTCCTTCTTCCAACAAAAGGTGGAGGCCAAAATTCTTTTTCGTCCGGGGTGACTCCTCGGAGTTATCGGGAGCGCCTAGCGACCTTCCCTGCATTCCTCGGTCTTGGGGAGTCTTGAGGAGCACACGTAAGGGCAATAACTGAATGTTTGCCTATTTATTATGGATTTTCTCAGGTTTTAATTCTGACTTTTGGTTTTTTTTTTTTTCAGGTTTCTGTCCTTCTTTTGACGCTATGGAGGCTAGTAGGGTGGCTCTAGCAGAAGCCTTTGGTCTTAAGTCTTTTTTGGCTTCGGTAACCGAGGAGAATCTTGTAAAATACCAGATCGGTCCTCTAATAGAGGCATTATCCACACAGGTTGCTGAATCATTACCAGTAGAGTCTTCTGAATGGATGGATCTTGACTTTATCATTGCGGCCTTTACAGATGAGAGAAAGAGGAAGAGAATGAGGAGGCTGGTGAAGGCCTCTGAGCTCCCTTTCCAAAAGGAATCAACTCGACTGATGCCACCATGGAGCAGTCTGATCTCTTACGAAAGTAACTTTCCGTCTTCCTTATCTCCCAAGCTACACATCGGGGGTGATTGTAGAGTAGAGGGAGACGAACCTGCCAAGTTGCCATCCTAGGGTGAATCCCAGACCAAAAGGGCCAAACTTCCAGAGACTGACCCCGCTCTTCCTCTAATAACCTTATCAGAGGGAAAAAAGAGCGAGCGAGATCTTCCTTAGATAGCTGCGCAAGGTAGTGGGTTCTTGTGCGATCCCACCGTTGCTATGGACACCCCAGCCAAGTTGGTCACAACTTCAAACCCCGAGGAAACTATGAGGGTTAGCTTAAACAAGAAAAATAGGTATGCCAGTTAGAGTCTGACCGAGGTACCACGCTATTTTATTGCCCTTTTTAAATATTACCTCTAGATTCCTTCGTCTCTCATTTATGTTAATTATTTCCCCTGATGTTAGTCTTTGGCGTGCATCAAGATGATGGAGTTTCATCATGGGTGCATTTTGTCCCAACTGGCTGGCCAATCTCTCGACTAGGCTCCCTTGCGCTCAGAATTGGAGAAGCTTAAGCTTGTCGAGCAGCAGTTCAAGGATGATCTAGTTGCAAAAGAGTGCGAAGTGCATTAGATGCTACTAACGCTGCCAGTGAGGGGAAGGGTTTAGCTGAGAGGAAGATTGTTGTCCTAGTTGTTGAGGTGGCTAAGTTGAAGAGGGCCTATGGCAATTTGGACACTCGCTAGCAGGATTCTGTAAAGAGGAGAGTCGTCATGCTGAAAGCTAAAGATGAAAAGTTAAAGGCAAAGGAGATCCAGCTGAAGTCCATGAACAAGAAGATCGTTGAGCTCCTTAAGGTGAACGATTATGCCTTTGTGAAGGGCTTTATGAACTTTCAGGACCAATTGGAGAGGGCATATCCTAACCTTGAGCTGGACTCCTTTATGCCAGAGATTGAGGCATTAAAATCCAAAGATGTTGCCAAAGAAGCCACTGCTGAGCTTGTTGACAGGAGGTGAGAGGCTTGCTACTTGATCTTTAGTCTTAGTTTAGGTGTTCACCATGGTGAACTGGTTTTTGTTGTTATTGCCAATTTTCCAAAACCTATGTAACTAAGACTCAATTTTTGAATTTAAAAACTTTTCTATGTATCCCTTTTTCTTTAAGAGTTTTGCGTACTTCCTTGCTTATTACCCTTTTTCCTACCTCTTTTTTTTTGTTTTACATTTTTGCGGCTAACTTTTGAGGATTACAGTGGGTGACTTAGCTCTTTGGAGTTGCATTCAACCTCATCTGTCGTAGTAATGGTATCTCGAGCTGCCAACTGTGTTATGTGACTCTGCTTGAAGTTGAGTGGCCCTGCGTGAGTTTCGAGTTGAGTAGTCTTGCTCGTGCTTCCATGGCTTGCTAGGGTTAGTTTTGGACTTTTCCCCATCCTTTCGTGTATCCCAAGTTTTACGGTTTTATTCAATTGAGCACATGTATTGGTATTAGCGTGGGTGTCCCCTCAAAAGCAGTGCCCACTTCCCCATTTTCAACACGTGGCTAGCGTATTCAATGTGATGGACATGCATTAATTGCATCCTTCTGAAGTGATGTATGTCTCCTGGAATCCCCTTAAATAGTTTGCCCCGTCTACAGGCTTTTGGCTCTTGTGCTTGAGTGTTTCTTCTTTATTCGCAATTTTTTACTTTTATCCCATGATTCTCTTCCTTCAACTTTCCCTAACTTTTGCCATGGTGCAAATGTCTGCTTCCCATTATGATACCTAACGGGAGGTTTTCCTTGATGTCGAGGCTAGCAAAATCGATATAGAGGAGGCTCGAGTGCTTTCTAGCCGCTATGACTTCCCAATTAGGGTGATTGTCCATGCTGCAGAGCGTCATCCTTACCATTTAATTCTGGGTAGTTGGGTTTATTTTTTCAAGGCTTCCTTTCAGCTGGGCCTTAGATTTTCTTTCCCTCCTTTTGTAAGAGAAATTTTTTATTTTTTTTCAGCTTTTGTCCTGCATGCTNCTTTCCCTCCTTTTGTAAGAGAAATTTTTTATTTTTTTTCAGCTTTTGTCCTGCATGCTATTATTGACAAGGTGGGCAATCTTGTTGGCATTCCCGATGCTATGGGAGCATTTATTGATGCAAGCTCATGCCACCCTATCAAAATTTTTTAACATTTTCTGTCCTATATGGGTATCTGGGTTCTACTATTTTGTTGGGAGAAGAGGAGGAAAAACCCCCCATTTTCGATCTTCCTCCTAAGCCAGAGGGTTAGAGGAAGAGGTATTTTTTCATATCTGGAACAAGTTGGGAATTCACACCGTAGACGATCTCATCAATTCGGGTTTCCACAATCTGCGGGCAGTGTGCTCATCTTGGTGAGTTTCCCCGCCTTGGTGAGTTTTCTTCTACCGAGTTATCCATCCCATGCTTCTTGGGTTCTAATTTGGTCTTTTCCTCTCCCTTTTGGTAGGTGAATATTCAAGTTTGATTGGGGAAGCACGATCTCGGGTCTATTAGGCTCGAGCTCGATTGCCCATTTCTTATGCTGAGTTGATATGTCCTAATGTAGCTGATGTCTCGAGTCGTAAGCGGCTGATGTCTCAAGCCGTAAGTGTCCGACATCTCTGCANTAGGTGAATATTCAAGTTTGATTGGGGAAGCACGATCTTGGGTCTATTAGGCTCGAGCTCGATTGCCCATTTCTTATGCTGAGCTGATATGTCCTAATGTAGCTAATGTCTCGAGTCGTAAGCGGCTGATGTCTCAAGCCGTAAGTGTCCGACATCTCTGCAAGGTTAGGCTACCACGTTTTGGTGAATCTTTTTAACCTTTCCTTTTGATTGTCTTGTTTCTTCAGTTCCTACGTACCTAGTGAGCAAGAGGGACGTGATTGTAGAGTAAGTGGGTCAGAAGAAGCTGACACAAGCTCTGAGGCCTCCTACAAAGAGGGCAAGGATTTTCAAGGATAGCCCTTTGTCGAGCTCCCCTGCCCCACCCCCGATTCCACTCAACGCTAGGAAAACCACAGCTGGGGCAGTGTCCATTAATCCTNCGAGGTCTCCTACAAAGAGGGCAAGGATTTTCAAGGATAGCCCTTTGTCGAGCTCCCCTGCCCCACCCCTGATTCCACTCAACGCTAGGAAAACCACGGCTGGGGCAGTGTCCATTAATCCTGAGGTGGGAGATATGGGTCTCTGCCCCAGGCATATGGGAGGGTCCATTTCGAGACATCCTGAGCTGGTTACGATCAGCAATCTTGGGATAAGCCTTTTAGATGATGTGGCCTGAGGCAATCAAGCCGTCATGGAGCTGATCCTTTAGATCGACCTCTATCGCTCTATTAACCAACCCTTTAGGGAGCCTGAGATACCTTGCATGCACTTATTGAGGTGGGACTTATTGTCTTTGCCTTCTCCTGCCTTAGTTATGCAATCACTTATCAGTTTACTTGGTTTTAGGCTACGACGTATGTTTGTACATTTGACGGAGAGATCCACCATCTGAAGGCGAAAGCCACCAAGAGGAAGGCAAGGCACACCAAGCTTCTACACTGGAGGCTGAGCTGGAGGTGGNTGACAGCTAATCGCCGCTACTGTTTCAGAGATCTCCTTGCGATAGTAGTTGAGTGATTAATTGGGATAGCTGATCATTCTGCGAAAGTAGCCGAGTGATCAGTTGGTCGATCTGGTCAATTCCCAGGCTGAGAAGATGGAGTTGACAGCTCATGTGGCCGAATCTGGCGCAACTATCGTCGATATGGAGGACTCCCTAAGCTCGAAGTGGTGGTTGGTCGAGAAATAGAAAAAGGAGATCAAGAAGGCGAAAATGGAGGTCACCAAAGCTTTCATGGACGGGTAATTCAACTTTGAAGAGCAAGCCCTCGCGAAATTCCCCGGCCTCAGCCTTGATTCCATTCTCCTCCTAGGGCTCCTCTAGAGGAGGTGATGCTGCTCCGCCATCCACTAGGCCCTAAGACTTTCTGTTTTTATCCTTTTTTGTTGTTTTGTTTTTGTTGTGTTTTTTTCAGCACTTGCTGCATGTAAGTTTTTGAAATGTAAAGTGTGACCTTCCTCTGTTGTTGGAATGAAAACCACTTCAGCTTTCTTTGGATGTTGGTGGTGATGTTTTATATGTCTTGTACCCTCTTTGTCCCCTGCTCCAAGAAGGTCTTGACCTTGTTGGAGTATGGTCTTTAAAAAACCTCTTTAGGTTTTTGAGCTTCTAGACTTTGTTTCATCATTTTGTGGTATGCTAATTGATTTAGCGGCTTGATGCTATTCCAAGGCGCAATATCCCGAGGTGTTACTATCTTGAGCCGAATTATACCATAGGTTTTGAGCTATCACTTCATTGTTTGCATTCATGTGCTCGATCTGTATAGCCTCAAGCTGAATTGTCTCGAGATGCACCATAAGGTATCTGAAAGGGGGACCAAGCCCTTCATCCCTAACAAGCCCTGTGCTCGGGGCGTACGACCTCGGGTTGAGGTGTACGGATTTAGGAGAAAGGATATTAAATGTGTTGCTATTTGTGCGCACCTAACTCCACCTAACTTCGTCTTGGGCAACCTTTATTAACTCCTAACAAAAATCCTTTTTATTGAAGAAGTGTAATGGTTGCCCTTTTGCGTCCACAAGCAGCCCACCCTCTTTGTTCAAAAATCTTCTACTCTTTGTATTCCTATTCCNGCACCTAACTCCACCTAACTTCGTCTTGGGCAACCTTTATTAACTCCTAACAAAAATCCTTTTTATTGAAGAAATGTAATGGTTGCCCTTTTGCGTCCACAAGCAGCCCACCCTCTTTGTTCAAAAATCTTCTACTCTTTGTATTCCTATTCCTCTTTGATGTTTTCCCTGGGTGTTGCTCATCTCATCTTATGAATTTATGGCTTCCTATTCTACTTCCTTGTTCAAGCAACGCACTCGAATTATGATTGACAACCCATAGTATGTCATGTTTTTATTTCCTATTGTAATCGCTGCACCTGAAGCGGAGGAAATTAGAAGGTGATACCTCTTCCCAGCTTGTTTGGCCATTCGGATTCCTACCCCTGATGAACCTTGCAACCTCCTTATCTGAAGGGAGGTTTGTGTTTTGGAAGGNTGATTGACAACCCATAGTATGTCATGTTTTTATTTCCTATTGTAATCGCTGCACCTGAAGCGGAGGAAATTAGGAGGTGATACCTCTTCCCAGCTTGTTTGGCCATTCGGATTCCTACCCCTGATGAACCTTGCAACCTCCTTATCTGAAGGGAGGTTTGTGTTTTGGAAGGTGCATTTGAGATGGGACTTCATTGCCCATCCATCCATCCATAAGACAAATTCTTGCCTTTTTTTGGCTCTGCCCTTCACGTCTTTCACCAGAGGGGAGGGGGCACCCTTGTGAGCTTCTTCATTTTTCTGGCGCATGCATGACCATGATCGTTTCCCCACGATCTCTGAGTTTCTTTACTTCTTTGACTTTGATTTTGACTTCCCTCCCTACTATTATCGATTTATTGGAGGTTTCATGTTCCTATGTTGGTTCTCAATGCTTTTGGCTCCTCTAAGGGATGGCTGCAACATTTTTTCTTTATTTCTGGAGATTCTTGGGAGTCTACCAAAGCACGATCAAAGCGTTCTCGAGTTCCTCCCTCCTAGGGTCGCATTCTAGACAGAGGTAAATAAACATTTTGCTCTTTAAAGACTGGAAGACTCCCTTATCCATTATTTTTCATTTTGAGACTAATGATTTTTATGCTAATGCAGATGGTCTCGGGCTGACCCCTAAAGAGATCATCAAGGTCAACTGACTTTGTCGTCCTGAGGCGGTTGTCTTCTCTACTTTGGTTATAGCTCAGAATCTTTTCCAGTTCGGTATTGGTCCCAATCGGATTAGCATCCCTGTTGTTGTCCCGATTCCCCTTCCCTTGCCATCGACGTGAGCTCTTCTTCGATGGGCCTAGGAGAGGACACGACTACTTTTTCGAGAAGAAAGAAGAAGAAGGTCCAACATTCGTCTTCGCCAAAGCTGTCGGACTCTTCTTTTAGTGAGATAAGATTTACAACTGGCGAGCTGGAGATGGCCTTTGGGAAGACGATGCTAAAGAGGCAGCTTTTTGATGTCGTAAAGGATAGGGATGAGCTGAAGGCTGAGGATGCTCAGTTGCAGGCAGAGAATGTGCGACTGGGGGAGGAGGTCCTAGAGTTGAAGAAAAATAGTGAAAAACCTTGAACTTCATTTTAAGTTTCTTGTAATTATAAATACTGTTGAATATGATGCAGTTTTTTTTTGCTTCTTATCTGCTACTATCATGATTATTGTGGTGTGCCTTTTTTCTTCGAGGTCTCTAATATGGTGACTATCATGCGAGCATGACCTGAAAGGTTGAGCTGACAATCTATTAGGCTGAGAAGCCTAGTCGTGGTCATGCAATTGAGGAGCTCGTGGCTTTGGGGAGCTGAAAATTTTCTTGAAGGCTAAAAAGCTGAGCTGATGAGCTCTTAGGCTGAGAAGCCTAATCGAGGTCGTGCTGCTGAGGAGCTTGATGCCTTGGGGAGTTGAAAAACTCATTAAGGGCTAAATAGTTGAACTGACAAGCTCTTAGGCTAAGAAGCCTAGTTGAGGTCGCGCGACTAAGGAGTTCGCGACTTTGGGGAGTTAAAAAAATCCTTAAGGGCNGTCATGCAAGCATGACCTGAAAGGTTGAGCTGACAATCTATTAGGCTGAGAAGCCTAGTGGTGGTCATGCAATTGAGGAGCTCGTGGCTTTGGGGAGTTGAAAATTTTCTTGAAGGCTAAAAAGCTGAGCTGATGAGCTCTTAGGCTGAGAAGCCTAATCGAGGTCGTGTTGCTGAGGAGCTTGATGCCTTGGGGAGTTGAAAAACTCATTAAGGGATGAATAGTTGAACTGACAAGCTCTTAGGCTAAGAAGCCTAGTCGAGGTCGCGCGACTAAGGAGTTCGCGACTTTGGGGAGTTAAAAAAATCCTTAAGGGCTGAAAAGCTGAGCTGACAAGCTCTTAGACTGAGAAGCATTGTCGAGGTCGCATGGCTGAGGAGCTTGCAACCTTGGGGAGTTGAAAAACTCCTCGAGGGCTAAAAAGCTGAGCTGACGAGCTCTTTGATTGAGAAGCATAGTTGAGGTTGTGTGACTAAGGAGCTCGCGCCTTTGGGGAGTTGAAANGAGCTTGCAACCTTGGGGAGTTGAAAAACTCTTTGAGGGCTAAAAAGCTGAGCTGACGAGCTCTTTGACTGAGAAGCATAGTTGAGGTTGTGTGACTAAGGAGCTCGCGCCTTTGGGGAGTTGAAAATCCCTTTGAATCATCCATTGTGCAAGTTTGTAGGCTAGAAATTCAAATTTCATTGATTGAGAACTAGGCATTTACAATTGCTTTCCTACTTTCACATTGTTTTGTTGTTCATGATCCTATTGGTAATACTACTTCAAATGATTTGCATTCTAGGAGTGTTGTAGGTCATTCTCTTCTTTTGTTTGTAGTTCATAGTTTTCAAGTTTGACCCCTCTTTTCACAATGTATGGGCCTTCCCAGTTGTACTCGAGTTTTTCATGAGTGGGTATTTCCTTGTAGGGATCAGTTTCTTAAGAACCAAGTTGCCTGNATGTTGTAGGTCATTCTCTTCTTCTGTTTGTAGTTCATAGTTTTCAAGTTTGACCCCTCTTTTCACAATGTATGGGCCTTCCCAGTTGTACTCGAGCTTTTCATGAGTGGGTATTTCCTTGTAGGGATCAGTTTCTTAAGAACCAAGTTGCCTGGCTTGAAACTCCTTTTCTTGACCCTCTGATTGTAGTATCGCGCGGTGTTCCTTTGGTAGGAGAATATTCGTTATAGCTCTTCATCTCTTTTTTTTTCCNTGGCTTGAAACTCCTTTTCTTGACCCTCTGATTGTAGTATCGCGCGGTGTTCCTTTGGTAGGAGAATATTCGTTATAGCTCTTCATCTCTTTTTTTTTCCAACAGGTCTAGGTTGATGAGCAAAGACCTGTCATTCTGCTCGGGGTCGAAGAGCTTAGCCCTAGCTGAGGGGAGTCCAACCTCTACCAGGGCTATGGCCTCTGTCCCATATATAAGACTAAAGGGAGTCTCATTGGTTGTCATTCGTACGGTGGTCCGATAAGCCCACAACACCGTTGGGACGTGGTCAACCCATTGGGCCTTAGAAGCTTCTAGTCTTATTTTCAGTGCCAACTTGATGGTTTTGCCCATTTGACTGCTGGTGCGCAGGTGCTGAGAAATAATTCTTAATTTTTGACTTTGCATAAAAACCCGTGAATCCCAAATATCGAACTTCTTTCCATTATCTGAAACCACGGCTCTTGGGATGCCAAAACGACAAATTATTGATTTCCAAACGAAATTCTTCACTTTCTACTCGGCTATCTTCACTAATGCCTTGGCTTCTTCCCATTTGGTAAAATAGTCCACAACAACTATTGCGAACTTACACTGTCTAATGCCAACTAAGAAGGGCCCTAAAATTTCCAGCCCCCATTGCTATAAAAGTTAAGGGATAACCACCGATTAAGTTGCTCGGGAGGGTAGTGCGACAGGTTCCCATGGATCTGATATGCCTAACACTTCTTTACCATTTCTTTGGCATTTCTCGCCATCATGGGCCAGAAGTATCCTTATCGAAGCGCTTTACTAGCAAGAGTTCACACTCCGATGTGGTTCCTACATATGCCCTCGTGAATCTTCATTAGGATATAGTCTGGCTCGAGCTTAGTAACACATTTCAATAGGGAAAAAGAAAAGCCTCATTTATAGAGTTTACTTTGCACCATGATGAATTTTTCTGCTTTGATCTTTATCTTAGCTGNTAGGGAAAAAGAAAAGCCTCATTTATAGAGTTTACTTTGCACCATGATGAATTTTTCTGCTTTGATCTTTATCTTAGCTGCCTCCTTTTTGTCGTGTGGGAGGTGTATGTCCTGTAGAAAGGAAGTGATAGAATCCATCCACGATGTGTTCTCATCTACTGGCATGACCTAATCTTTGTCGAGTTAGAAGCTTGGGTCGAGCAGGACCTCCACAGGCGTCGTTCCTGAAAAATCCTATTGGGCCACAATACCCAGCTTGACTAGTGCATTGGCTTGACAATTTGCTTCTCGAGGTATCTAAGTGAGCTCGGTGATCACAAATCTTCTTAACAGGTTTCACACATTCCTCATGTATAGATCCATCTTGTTCTTTCGAGCCGCATACTTTTCCTCCACTTGCTTGACTACCAGCTGAGAGTCACTATAGATAACGATTTTTTGTGCATCCATCGACAAGGTCATGTTTAGACCAGCAGTGGCATCCACTATAAGGTCGATCCTAGGTTGAGGGAAACTATCCTTGGGGCACGTGTGACTTAGGTCCATGAAGTCAATGCACAAACACTACTTTTTGTTGACCTTTTTAACCAACGCCACGTTGGCTAGCCAGGTCGAGTAGTCGACCTCCCTAATGGCCTTAGCTCGTAATAGTTTAGTCACTTCTTCGTTGATCATTTTCTATCTCTCTGGAGCAAAGCTCCTTCTTTTTCTGCTTAACGGGCTTGTGGTTAGGATCCACACTGAGGTGATGCACTATTACCCTATGTCTTCCTACTTCCAAGCAAAAGCATCAGTGTTCTCCTTCAAGCAGAGAAATAAGTCTCTCTTTGATGTCCTAGAGCAGTGTTGAGCCTAAAAAGACCACATGCCTGGGGTCTTTGTCAACCTGCACTGGCTCTAGCTGCTCTAATGATGTAGGTTGGGTCTTTATTAGGTCCCTCATATCAAGGTCTTCTAATTGAACTGATTCCACCTTCTTCTATCTCATGGACGCTACATAGCATTCCCTGGCAATGCGTTGGTCGCCTCTCACCACTGCGACTCCATTTTCTATTGAAAACTTCATAATCAAGTGATATACCGAAGGCATAGCTCTGATGGAGTTGAGGGAAGGCTTACCGAGCAAGACGTTGTAGGCGGGATGTGCATCTACCACCAGGAAATGGATTGTGGTGGTAATCTAGCAAGGATGCTCTCCCAATGTGAGGACCTGCTGGATAGATCCCACAGGTAAGACTCTTTCACTCTAGAAACCCAGGAAATAGGTCCTCACGGGTTCGAGCCTCAACCTGTCTAACCCAAGCTACTTGAAGGCGGAGAGGAAAATGATATCAGTTGAACTGCCATTATCTATGAGAATGTGGTGTATAGTTTTGTTAGCGATGATGGGTTTAACGACCAAAGGGTTATCATGGGAGAGCTAATACTTTTCCAGGTTGGCATCTGAGAAGGTTATCTCCATGTCTTTGCGTGGGGCCTTTTGTATTGTTTGGATATCAAGGAAGTCGTCTAACCTAGCCCTCTTGGTGTAGGCTCTTCTCGCCAAGCTTGACTCGTCTCCTCTTGCAAAGCCACCCGAGATGACCCTATCTCTCCTAGAGCCTTTTGGTGCTGTTGCTGGGGTGGCCTTGTTGCTCGACTCGCTCATTTCAATCTCTTTCCTCCCCTGCCATATAATGCCGCAAATGGCCCCATTGAACTAGATATTCTATCTTCTTTTTCAGTTGGATACAGTCCTTGGTATTGTGGCCAGTGTCCTTGTCAAAATTGCAATACTTGGTGGGATCACGCCTTTGGGGGTCATACTTTATCCTTGGCGGCCATTTGACATATCTCTCATTTTAGACCTCGTGGAGGACTTGAGAGATGGTGGCATTTAGGGGGGTGAGTCGGGCTGGTGCATACCGTGGTTGAAGCTCCTGAGGCGGAGGGTCGAGATGATCCTTGATGTTCTCCCTTCTCTTTGGGGAGGGTTTTCTTTCCTTCCTCTGGGATTGGTCTCCCCTTGGGGGCCGATCTCGTCTTTTTCTCCTTTCTTGGGCTACACTCTCTTTTTTTTTTCTTTCCCTCACTCGATGTTGACGATCCTCCCTTCATGCAAAGAGCCTCCTCTCTATTTATATACTTCTTGACTTTAATAAGCATTTCTGCCATTGTTGTTTGGGAGTTCTTGGCAATTAAAAATAGCATGTCCTTGGATTAGATGCCAAGCCCAGATATGAAAGTTGTCATGGTGAACTTGTCATCTACATTTTGTATTTTCAAGGACTCTTGGTTAAATCTTTGTACGTAGCTCCAGAGAGACTCATTGGGTCCCTGTTTGAGGTAGAGGAAAATGTAGAATTTCTTGGCAAATGACAACTAGGTTTGCTGGACTAGGGTGACAGGGTTTTCCCTTTCACCACCTCCTTCACGTTTCCTAGCTCCTGCTGGGTTTCTCAGAACCTTTGCTACTAGAATTGGTCTATGACATCATGTTGGTGAATAAGAGGATGGTCTTCTATGGGAAAGGCTCTGGCCCGACTCTAGGCTTCGTCA